ACGAATCTCGAGATCTGTATCGCTTTTCTAATAGCGCTATTCGGTGTTACCGAATACCGAGATCTCGTGCAAACACCAGTGATACACTGATGTATAAGCGAATGAATTGCTTTTAGTCTAGTGGGCTGTTAGAATGAATGATAATCTTTCCATAAAATAGTTTACCTGGCTGAAATTTTTACCTGATCATCGCTACGAACGCTCTGATTCCGACTTAATTTGGGTGGATTCACGTTTCATTTACAGAGATGCTACCTCCACCACCGAATCCTCCACGTGCGCCATACGGAAGTGGTGGTGCTCATGGAGTTCGTACCATTCTGTTGGCTTCAACTTGTTCTCCGCAACATCGTCCCACTCATCTCCGCTCTTCAGCTCAAGCTCAAGCCCAAGCTCAAGCCCAAGGCAGCAGCAGATGGTTGCAGCTCCCCCCTCTGTCGCCATCTCTACAAAACGCCATCGACGAAGCTATATTAGCAGCTTCACGACCCGATTTAACGTCAAATTTCGTTGCTAAACCGGCTGTGGTCGTTCAGAGCCAAGAGCAGCCATCAAGTAATAATAATTTTTGGTGCTTGAAACTGCTTTGATTGAAATATTTTCTTCGAAACGCATCAATTAAGTTGGGAGGGTAGCTTTCTTGCCGAAAGAAATAATTTATTTGCATTCAACATGGTCATCGTTCACGATGAAATCTTTTGCGTGCTTTGATAGCCAGACTAATCAAATCCTTTATCATCATCCACTAATTGTTGCTTTCTTGGAACCTTTCGCAGTTTCCTTCGCAATCTGAGAGCAAATCCTTTCGTTTGCAAAGTTCCTTAAAGTATAAAGCGCCAAAAGCATGGACAATATCTCCCATCAGTGGCTGAACCTATCAATGCCATGTATATTAGGCGATTTTGGTGATATTGAATGAATGTAATTTTTAAAATCATCACATGCAGCATTTTGAAAACGCCTAAAACGGCCATTCAATATTGCTGGCCACTGTATTTGGAAAGAGAACTGAGGAGGGAGGACCTTGGCCGAGGTCACTAGTCAATCTAATTGGGCGCTTAGCGAGAAACGTTTCCGAGTTGTTGCTGCAAAGCGTGACCGGTCGATCTGCCTAAAGACATTTTGCCTAACGGCAGTTTGCCTGACGGACAGTTTGCCTAAAGACACATTGCCTAACGGACATATTGCCTAACGGCAGTTTGCCTAACGGACAGTTTGCCTATTAGACAGTTTATCTAAAGAATAGTTTGCCCGTTAGGGAAAGTAT